GTGAGGGGAACGTCCAAGTGTTGGGGGTTGATAGACGGAAATGCGCATCACCATCGAGCCGCATCTCACAGTGCAATTCAGCCGAACCGCGAATTGCCTTCTCAACTGGAGGCTGGCAGGCAACCAGGCCAGGTTACCGTGCTCTTGGGGGAAGAACTCCGTTAAAGCAGCGGTATACATTTGGCACCACTGTTTGTTTTGTACAGTGTGCACCTTCATTTCGCCGAGACGAAAAAAACCGAGCGTAGCGAGAGTGTTGGCGAAAACCGGAGGCACTTCTGTTGACGAGTGAGCAAGGGTTGGGTTGGTTGTGCCACAAATGGTGAAATGCTCCCGTCACCAAACTCACCTGCCATGCTCACACACCAAGAGAATAAGCCGCTAATAACTACTCCATAAAAAAAGAGCCTATGCGCACGCTGGAGGGTGCTACGCCAGCGCGAACACGCTTGAAGTCGCGCGCGAGTAATTAGGCGCGTGGTTAATAAGCTTAGGGTGCGAAACGACCAGCAAAAGCGGGAAGAAGCAGACGCCTTTATAGCAAATGTCGCGCGCTCCCCTCTAGCCTCGCACGCGCGCCTGCATTCAGTGCGAGCCAGCACAGCGCGCAGAGAAACACACGCCAGAAAAACGCGCGCCGCAAGGGGGCACTTCATATGCATAGCGCAACCAGAGATCAGAGCGCGTGCTGGTAACGCGCTGCGCTCGCCAAGCCGTGATCCCCGCGTCGCGCGTATGAGAAGTGGCGCTCGCGCCGTCCCGTGCGCCCTGACGCATTCGCGCCGTCGCATAATTGGAGCACGGAACCGGCCGCATTCCCCCTTCCGCATACCCCCTTCCGCATTCTCCCATCCGCATTCCCCCTTCTGCATTCCCCTTCCGCATTCCCCCTTCCGAATTCTCCCTTCCGCATTCCCCCATCCGCATTCCCCCTTCCGCATTCCCCCTTCCGCATTCCCCCTTCCGCATTCCCTCTTCCCCATTCCCCCTTCCGAATTCTCCCTTCCGCATTCCCCCATCCGCATTCCCCCTTCCGCATTCCCCCTTCCGCATTCCCTCTTCCGCATTCCCCCTCCCGCATTCCCCCTTCCGCGTTCCCCCTTCCGCATTCCCCCTTCCGCGTTCCCCCTTCCGCATTCCCCCTTCCGCAAACCCCCTTCCGGATTCCCCCTTCGGCATTCCCCCTTCGGCAAACCCCCTTCCGCATTCCCCCTTCCGCATTCCCCCTTCCGCATTCCCCCTTCCGCAATCCCCCTTCCGCATTCCCCCTTCCGCAATCCCCCTTCCGCATTCCCCCTTCCGCGTTCCCCCTTCCGCATTCCCCCTTCCGCGTTCCCCCTTCCGCATTCCCCCTTCCGCATTCCCCCTTCCGCATTCCCCCTTCCCCATTCCCCCTTCCGCGTTCCCCCTTCCGCGTTCCCCCTTCCATGTTCCCCCTTCCGCATTCCCCCTTCCGCGTTCCCCCTTCCGCATCCCCCCCTCTCTCGTGCTTACCGCCTAATAGCCCCATATTCCCCCCATGCTAGCAACATGTTATCCAATGTTAGCCTCATGTTACCCCCATTCTTGCCCCATGTTTCCCCCATTCTTGCCCCATGTTACCCCCATTCTTGCCCCATGTTTCCCCCATTCTTGCCCCATGTTACCCCCATTCTTGCCCCATGTTACCCCCATTCTTGCCCCATGTTACCCCCATTCTTGCCCCATGTTACCCCCATTCTTGCCCCATGTTACCCCCATTCTTGCCCCATGTTACCCCCATTCTTGCCCCATGTTACCCCCATTCTTGCCCCATGTTACCCCCATTCTTGCCCCATGTTACCCCCATTCTTGCCCCATGTTACCCCCATTCTTGCCCCATGTTTCCCCCATTCTTGCCCCATGTTACCCCCATTCTTGCCCCATGTTTCCCCCATTCTTGCCCCATGTTACCCCCATTCTTGCCCCATGTTACCCCCATTCTTGCCCCATGTTACCCCCATTCTTGCCCCATGTTACCCCCATTCTTGCCCCATGTTACCCCCATTCTTGCCCCATGTTACCCCCATTCTTGCCCCATGTTACCCCCATTCTTGCCCCATGTTACCCCCATTCTTGCCCCATGTTACCCCCATTCTTGCCCCATGTTACCCCCATTCTTGCCCCATGTTACCCCCATTCTTGCCCCATGTTACCCCCATTCTTGCCCCATGTTACCCCCATTCTTGCCCCATGTTACCCCCATTCTTGCCCCATGTTACCCCCATTCTTGCCCCATGTTACCCCCATTCTTGCCCCATGTTACCCCCATTCTAACCCCATGTTACCCTCATTCTAGCCCCATGTTTAGCCCCAGGTTTCCCCCATGCTAGCCCCATGATACCCCCCTACTGCTGGCCCTATGGTACCCTTGACTGCAGGCCCCATGTTTCCCCCCTTCCAGCCCCATTTTACCCTCGTGATAGCCCCATGTTTCCCCTCAGGGTACACCCTTTATCTCCCCCGTGCTAGCCTCATGAATCAACCCATTCTAGCCCCATGTTTCCCCCAAGCTAGCCCCATGTTTCCCCCAAGCTAGCCCCATGTTTCCCCCAAGCTAGCCCCATGTTTCCCCCCTGCAGGCCCCACGTTTCCCCCCTGCCATACTCAGTTCTCCCCCCTGATATCCCCTTATTCTCCCCGAGACAGCCCCATGTTTCCTCTCTGATGGCTAGCCCCATGGGTCCTCCCATGCGTACCCAAGATTTAGGGCAGGTGCTAGCCCCATTTTCCCCAGGCTGGGTGGTCAGTGCATCGCTGCTCCCAGCAGCGCGTGGAGCGCTCAGCAACAAAGGAACCTCTCAGCCCTCACACCCTTACTCGCCTTCCCTCGTCACATCCTCTTCTCCCTCCCTCCCCTTCCCCTCCCAGGCTGGGTGGTGAGTGCATCGTTGCTCCCAGCAGGATTTGGAGCGCTCTCAGCCGGCTGGCTTGCCAACTGGGGCCGCACAATCGCCTGGGATCTCTTCACCAGTCGGCCATCTGTCTCGCCATTCTGACTGCTCTCCTCGCTGGTCTTCCCCTCGCTGCCAACCCCGCCTGGTGGGTGCCTTGCACGCTGCACAGGTGACTCAACAGTTGCTTGCACGCTGCATGGCCTTGGCATGTGAGTCGACCCACCACCGAACTTCCTGAATGCTCACCGCACTCCTCACTGCCATGCCACCATGCCCGCCCCATATTCCCCCCCATGCTAGCGTCATGTTTCCCCCCAAGCTAGCCCCATGTTTCCCCCTGCAGGCCTCATGTTTTCCCCCCACGCTAGCCCCATGTTTTCCCCCTGTTAGCCATGTTTTCCCCCTGCTAGCCCCATGTTTCGCCCTTGTTTACCCCGTTGTTCTCTCCATGCTAGCTTGCTCACGTATTCCTCTTGTTCAACTACCTCACACAAGCCCACGTCTGCCAAAGCAAAGAGGACAAAAGCAACAATTTGTTACGAGGTGAGTCATCCTTATTCCTCCCTACCCTGCCCTCCCAATACAAGGCAACTTTTGAGGCGCCTCAAAAACCCTACCCTGCCCTCCCAATACAAGGCAACCCTACCTTTCTGCCCTGTCATTCCCCCACCGCCATTCACTACCTGCTGCGCTCTTTCCTCCAGTCCAATTCCCTACCTGCCCTGCCTTCCCCCCATCCTCTTTTCCCGCCCTCCCTACCCTGCCCTCCCTACCCCATTATCATGCCATATGTTTTCCCCCTGCTTGCCCTCCCTACCCCATAATCATGCCATCTGTTTTCCCCCTGCTTGCCCTCCCTACCCCATTATCATGCCATCTGTTTTCCCCCTGCCAGCCCTCTCTACCCCATTATCATGCCATCTGTTTCCCCCCCGCTATCCCTCCATTCCCCGTCATTATGCCATGAGTTTCCCCCCTGCTAACCCTCCCTTCCCCATCATCATGTCACAAGTTTCCCCTTGCTAGCCCTCCCTTCACTTGTTTCTTGCCATATGTTTCTCCCCCGCCATCCCTCCCTTCCCCCATCATCAACAAAGGAACCTCACAGCCCTCACACTCTTACCCGCCTTCCCTTGTTACATCCTCTTTTCCCTCCCTCCTCTCAGCCTTCCCAGGCTGGGAAGTCAGCGCATGAAGGTTCGGCTTTTGAGACGTCTCAAAATAAGGTTCATGAAGGTTCGGCTTTTATCACGTCGCTGGCTTTTGAGACGTCTCAAAATAAGGTTCATGAAGGTTCGGCTTTTATCACGTCGCTGGCTTTTGAGACGTCTCAAAATACGACTTTTATCACGTCGCTGGCTTTTGAGACGTCTCAAAATACGACTTTTATCACGTCGCTGGCTTTTGAGACGTCTCAAAATACAACTTTTATCACGTCGCTGGCTTTTGAGACGTCTCAAAATACAACTTTTATCACGTCGCTGGCTTTTGAGACGTCTCAAAATACAACTTTTATCACGTCGCTGGGAAGTCAGCGCATGAAGGTTCGGCTTGCCCCTACGAGCAGGACAAAGAGACTTTTGAGACGTCTCAAAAGTCCCCTACGAGCAGGACAAAGAGACTTTTGAGACGTCTCAAAAGTCCCCTACGAGCAGGACAAAGAGACTTTTGAGACGTCTCAAAAGTCCCCTACGAGCAGGACAAAGAGACTTTTGAGACGTCTCAAAAGTCCCCTACGAGCAGGACAAAGAGACTTTTGAGACGTCTCAAAAGTCCCCTACGAGCAGGACAAAGAGACTTTTGAGACGTCTCAAAAGTCCCCTACGAGCAGGACAAAGAGACTTTTGAGACGTCTCAAAAGTCCCCTACGAGCAGGACAAAGAGACTTTTGAGACGTCTCAAAAGTCCCCTACGAGCAGGACAAAGAGACTTTTGAGACGTCTCAAAAGTCCCCTACGAGCAGGACAAAGAGACTTTTGAGACGTCTCAAAAGTCCCCTACGAGCAGGACAAAGAGACTTTTGAGACGTCTCAAAAGTCCCCTACGAGCAGGACAAAGAGACTTTTGAGACGTCTCAAAAGTCCCCTACGAGCAGGACAAAGAGTGGCCCAGTGAGAAAGGAGGGGAAGAGAGGGAAGAAAGGACGAAGGCACGGAGAGGTGTTGGGAGGCATGAAGGGGGGATGGGAAGGCAGAGAAAAGAGGTGATGAGGCATGAAGGGGGGATGGGCAGGCAGGTAAAGGTGGTGGGAGGCATGAAGGGGGGATGAGAAGGAAGGGAAAGGTGGTGTGAGGCATGAAGGGGTGATGGGAAGGCAGAGAAAGGAGGTGGGACGCATGAAAGGGGGATGGGCAGGCAGGGAAAGGTGGTGGGAGGCAGGAAGGTACGGGAAGACAAGGAAGGGAAAGGTGGTGTGAGGCATGAAGGGGAGATGGGAAGGCAGGTTGAGGCGGTGGGAGGCATAAAGCGGGTCCGCAAGAGGAAGGGAAAGGTGGTGGGAGACATGACGGGGAGATGGGAAGGCAGGACGAAGAGGTGGTGGGAGGCATGAAGGGGAGACTGAAAGGCAGGGAGAGGTGATGAGGCATGAAGGGGAGATGGGAAGGCAGGGAGAGGTGGGAGGGAAGGGAGGGAAGGGAGAGGGGGGAGGCAACGAAAGGCGGAAAGGCGCATCGGGCGGCGCGAAAGGGGAAGCGGGCGGCGGGAACGGGAATCGCGCGGCGCGAAAGGGGATCGGACGGCGGGAAGGGGCGGACGGGCGCGCCGCCCGGAATCAATGGGCGGGAAAGGGGATTCAGGCGGCGCGGAAGGGGATTCGGGCGGCGGGAAAGGGGAACAGGGCGGCGGGAACGTGAATCGGGCGACGGAAAGGGGAGTAGGGCGACGGGAAAGGGAACCGGCCGGCGGGAATGCCGAATCGGGAGGCATGAAGGGGAATCGGGCGGGGAGAACAGGGAGTCGAGTGGTTCCGCATTCCGAATCGGGCAGCGTGACTGGGGTTTCGTGGCGGCGGGAGGGGGAAACCGGGCGGCGGGAAGGGGGACCAGGCGACGGGAAATTGAATCTGGCGTCGGCGAAGGGTAATCGGGCCGCAGATAAGGGAATGGCTAAGGCGCCGCCATAACGCATTCTCACTTTGGATGCGAAATGCTCCGTGTATCAGGCGCCGGAAAATAAACAATGGCTATGTCGGCGTATGACCTAAGCGTGAGAAGCGCTATAATCGCAATGGCTTTTGGAAGTTACCTTTTTCCGTGATGACTAAGAAAGCTGTGGGGGTGGGGAGAAGTGGTGAGGAGGCGTGTGCTTCAGTATACTTGTGGCTAGGTATTAACTTATGACGAGTGACTCAGGTGAGAGGGGTTGGGTTAGGACTTGTTGCTGTGTGAGAAGTCGAGAGACCCTGTAATTTGGTTACCACCATGTACCGTCGGCTCAACTTGTACATGGCATAGCAGTAGAAGTTTCTTTTATGATAAAAATAACCACATTAAACTGTCAAAAAGATGTTAAATATTTACAGCAGATACATGCAGATGTCATGTTAATAACGTCCCGAGCTGCGGTTCCAACCAATTCCGCCAGCGGCTGCTACAGCTTCTCCAGTTCTCCCCCCAACGTCTTTGTCTGCCCTTCAACACTCCCTAATGGTAGCAGCCGAACCAGCGGTGATCGCCGCTGATAGCACAGGCTGGAGGCGAACGGCTCATCCATTTTCACAGGAGTTTCAATCTCTCATTTCTTGAAGATATTCATCCCTTCCATCAAACCACTTTTCAACCCCCTCCCACCCTGCTGTGACTCGTGGCTGCTACACCCGCAAGTTGAACTACTCACATCATCCCACTCAACATCCCCCCGATTCTCACCTTATCCCCTCCCCCCATCCTCAGAACCAACCAGTCACAGCACTACCATCCGCCCCTCCCACCATTCCCACACTCGATCCATCGTTTCTTGACACTACCAGGGTTTCAGACGAGTTGATTCCTTCCGGCCCTCCACGCTCCCTCCCATTCCTTGATCGCGGCTCGCGTGGGCTCGGGGGAACAAACCGGGCCTGACTCAGCGCCCGGTTATGGTTTTGAGCGGTGGAGAGCGGTGCAGAGCTGCCAGTGGAGCGGTTTGGAACAGTGGAGAGCGGTGCAAGGTTGTCATTCGAGAATGACCTCGGCACTGAGCGACCCGAGGGGGGGTTTGCAACGGGGCCACCGAAGTAAGGCTTGAAACCTGAGAGAGCGGAGGCGGAGGAGGTAGACGAGAGGGGCGAGGGGGGCGAGAGCGGTGAGAGGGGTGAACGGGGGGGCACGGTGCGATGACGAGCAGTGGGAGAAGGGAGAGAGGAGCGGCTGGAAGGAGAAGGAAGAGAGGAGACAGCTCTGCTAGTGGCAGTGGTTGTGGTTGCACTGCTTGGTCGTTTAATCACGTGCTCAGCCCTCGCCTCTGGTGGAAGCACAGGAAGTGCACCTCTGTGCTCCTCTGGGAGTGCACCCACTGCGCTCTCGCCTCCTGTGACCGCTGCCACTGCTTGGGCTGCTACGGCGGCTACAGCTGATTTGCCGGCTGCAGCAGTGTTCTGTCTGGAAAGCCGCCAGGGGGCGTCCTTGGCAGCGATAACGGTGAAGCTTTTAGATGGCATGCTCATCGACGGCTGGATCTTCTTTCCCTCGCTGGCCTTCCCTGTGTCGCTGCTGCCCTGTGACTGAGTCTGCTTGCTCGTGCTGCTGTGCGTTGCTGCTGCCTTCATCTGCCTTGCTGCTTCCCCTGCTTTGCCCATCGTGTCACCGTTAACGCTTCTCTTGCTGTTGCTCTTACTGTCGCCCTTGCTGTTGCCCTTGCTGCTGCTCTTGCTGCTACCATTGCTGCTGCTCTTACCACTGCTCCTGCTGGCTTTAACATTGCTGTTCTTACCACCAGGACTGCTCTCCTTAGCTCCCTGACACGAGCAGTTCCCACCACCACCAGAATTATCTCCTGAAAAGTTACCACCAGAACACTGGTCACAAGAAGGGCTGTTATTGTTACCAGAGTCGGAAAAACCGGCAGTAGCAGCAGCAACGGCAAGTGCAACAGACTCCCTGGGAGCGATCAGAGCAGCAGCGGCAGCAGCATCGGCAGCAGCAGCAGCAGCAGCAGAAGCCGCAGCCGCCGCCGCTGCTGCCTCCCTTGGTTGTGAGTAACTCACAGCAGCAGCTGCAGCAGCGGCGGCGGCACCAGCAGCAGCAGTAGCAGCAGACACAGCAGCAGCTACTGCTGATAGTGCTGCAGTGTATGCATCCTCAGGATCCACTTGGGATTCTTTCAGAGCCCTCACTAGCAGCTCACTCGCTGTAAATTTCCTGTCCTCCTTATAAACGTCCTCGACAGGAGCACTTGTTTCTGCATCGCTCCATTGGTTGTAACTTGGCTCGGCAGAAGGTTTGGCAAGAGGCTCGGCACGAGGCTCGGGAAAGTGTTGAGGCTTGGCCCATTCTAGTATGGACAGGTCTTGGCTGCACCCCCACCCGTCCCGAGCCGCGCACCCCCTGACCCCAGGAAACTCCCGAGAAGCTTCCTTTCTCATTCTTTCCGCACCTCCAGTGGTGCTCTCTGCTTCTGCCGTCCGGGGCCGTTCTGGCTGGAAGGTGTGAGGGCGCGGCAGTGCGCGCTTAGAAGCGTTCGGAGCATGGCGGGCTGTTTGGGGAGTGGGAGGCCAGAGAGCCTTGGGGGCCTCACGGGAGGTCTGGGGAGTGGCAGGCCAGCTACTCTTGGGAGCCTCACGACAGCTGGCAAGCGCCAGGTCAGCGCTCTTGGAGAGTTTGGACGGGATGATGATGCTGTACCGGAAACTCTTCTTGCCCGCTGTGCCGCCCGCTGCGCCGCTGCTGCCGCCCTCCTGCACCTTCTCGTCCGCTTCCTCACCCTCCTCTTCATTTTCTTCCCCCTGCTTGCCTCCCACTTCCTTCTCCCCCCCATCCACAAACTCTTGCCTCGTCTCTGCTCTCCCCCGGACTGACGGCTGCTCCTCCTCCTCCAACCCCTCATCCCCTTGACCCCCTTCCTCTTCCACTTCGCCTCCCTCCGCCACTTTCCTGACTGGTGTCTGAACTTTCAAGCGCGGAAGCATACGGGCTATTTCTCGAACTTTCCCAGTCCTTTCCATCCATAAATTCCTCCCTCTGCTCCAAGGCGTGTCCGTGTTACTGTTAGCTTTACCTCCGCTATCATTGCTGCTGTTACTGCCAGCCCTGCTACTGTTAGTGTTATCTAGACCGTCGCTGCTGCTTGGAAACTCCAGAACTGAGCCACCGCTCATTAAAGTCGCGCTCCTAATGATCCCATGCGTATCTGCGTTTTCTTTAGCTATAGCGTTCGTATAAATAGCAGCTGCTTCACTGTACTCACGTTGATTTATTGTTGTAACGGTATGCCTTCTCAGCAGCTCCATCGGCCTCGGACTGTCCTCGCCCTCGCTAGTGTCACCATCGCCATTAGAACCCGCATCGGCGCCGCCGAGGCAGGATTCTTCTCCTTCGTTATTCTCACACAAACCGTCCAACCCACCAGCACCGTTCTTGCCGAAACCCCCGCTTCTCCCCTCCCCCCCGTTTCTCTCATCCCTCCCCCACCACCGCCCACTGATAGCACCACCACCCGACCTGTTGCCGTTATTTTTAGCACCGCGTTTCTGCACAATACACGACGATCCGATAGTGGCGCTTCGCTGTAAGTCCAAGAACATGGGCAGCGGTGCGTCTAGTATTTCGTTCAGCAGCGCCGCTGCAGCTGCTGACGTGGACGAATCGTCCTGCGACGTGCACGTCGAAGCGGGAAGGTTTCGGTCGGGGAGGGGGGAAATGGTGCGGGGGCTGGCGCGCCCTACGCTGGCGGATGCCGCGCTGGCGGAATTCGCGCTGGCGGAAGTTGCGCCGGCGAAAGTTGCGCTGGCGGGATATTTCAAGCCGGGGCGTGGAGACGGGAAAATGGAGGCGTGCGGGGAAAGACAGGGGGAAGGTTCGCCGGTGCTGCTCGGAGCGGCGTCGAACCGTCGCCAGCTGTCGCCACTAGTGCTGCCGCTGCTGCTGCGGATACTGTTGCTGCAACTGCTGCTCTGTTCGCATGGTAACACAGGCGTTTCGCAGATTTTCGCACAGCTGCCGCCGCTGCCGCTGACGGTATAGCTCCGTTCGCCACCCCACGAACCGCGGCGATAATGGCCACTGACGCTGCCACCGGAAACATCACGCACCGTTGCACCACTCGCGGAAGCATTCACGCGAGCGACAGCCACTGCTGCAGCCGCCTCGAGACGGCTACTACACCCGTTAGCAGACTCGGTTATCAAGGCGGCGGAGACGGCGGACGCGGCGGAAGTTGCGGAAAGCGCGCGCGACCTACTCCGCGCTGCTTTCTCCGCTTCCTTCCCAAAACGAGGGATAAGTAACCACACAGAGTTACCACCATTTCCCGCGTCGCCCTTTCGAAGCACCTCCTCCTCAGAATCTTTGGCAGCCTTCCAGATTGGTTCGCAGAATATCCCGTCTGCCTCGGCGGAAAAACCGCTGCTGCTAACAGAGCTGATAGAGCCGAACCTTCTGCTTCGTAAGAGAGTAGGCTTTTGAGTTGTTGACTTTTGAATCGACTCAAAACTTAACTCGGAAAAATCGCTGCTGCTACTTATAGTACCGATAGAGCCGAGCCTTCCGCTTCGTAAACCGGTCGCGAAGCTAACCTTACGCTTGCTGCTGCTGCCTTTCGCAGCTGATTCGCTAACGTGCGTCGCGTTGCTGAAGCTGTCGAGGATCTTATCGCGCTCTTGCCACGCTCGCAGCGCGTGCGCGTGCACGTGGCCTCTCCGCTGCAAAGTCGGTCGGCGGAGGGCGCTTCCGAGAACCTTCCACGTGTAGTGCGACTCGGTGATCACGGCGCGCGCCTTCTGAGCAGCTTCGTCCCACAAGCACGCCACATCGGGAGATGAGAGAGGGTCGCGCGACGGGCTAGCAGTCGAAGGTTTTTTTTCTGCTTGGGGGGCGGAAAAGGGCGAAGGAGAAAGGCGGAAGAATACAGGGGGGAGGAGGAAAGGTTAGGGGAAAGGGGAAGGAGCAGGGGAAGGAGAAGGGGAAGGCATGCGGACGGGGAACGGATTGGGCACAGGGAGGGGTCACACCGCCGTCGCCGTGAAGGCATCGCGACGTCAGGAGAGGAAGAAAAGGCGGTCTCGCTGCTAAAGATCCAATCTTCCACTAGAAGTATAGTACCATCATGTCCTTAACTCTTCCGCGAAATCCCTAAACTCTTATAAGGGGGGGAAATTTTTTATACTGTGGCCAAACGAACTCACCCTGTCTTAACGATTCCCTTTGCGGACGTGGAGGTGACGCGAAACCCGACTCGCGAACCCATCTCCGCACCATCGGCAGAAGCTTCCGCGAAACCACGTCCATCCGCCGGGCAGCGACCAACGGGTCGTCAATCGCGATAACCACAAGCTTCCACGAAACTTCCGAGCGCGTCTCGTTGTGAAGCCGCACGGGCTGCGCGAGGAGCGGAAGCACCGGGTACGCTTCCCCGGGTTCGCGCTGCCGGGTGCCGATTTCCACCGCTTCGATCGGCGCGTTGTCGAAAATTACGGGGAACGCCGAGTCGCCGGACTCGCGCGGCGATTCAGGACCTGGGGAAGCTACTGACGGGGACGACGGCGGTGAGACGTTGGCGTCCGTCGCGACATCTGACGGCTGAGCGGCGATGGGGGAAAGGACGCACGTCTGAGGCATGATTCCCAGATTCCATGGGCGCGGCGCGGAGTCGTCGGGGCTCAACGAGCCGTCTAGGTCGAGCCGCTGGCAAGGCAAGGCGGGACGCGTCGAACGGGGGGAAAGCGAGTCGGGAGAAAGCGAGCCGGGAGAAAGTGAGCGGGGAGAAAGCGAGCGGGGAGAGGTGGAAATCTGCGTTTCGCTCTTGAAATTAACAAGGCTGTTTTTCCGATGCGAGCGAGCGCTCTGAGGGAAATGACTTCCGCCGCGATTAGCGGCGTGATCCGCGCTGGCGGTTTTTGAGGAAGTGCAGACGAAAGTGAACGCTGAAAGTGACACGTAATCATCGTTCGCCGCATACCTTCCCCCGAAATCGTCGCTCTCAGTTTCCGCGGCTGTTGATGGAAAGAGCAATTCGTTAGCACTACTAGCAGCTAGAAACGGAGATGCCTGCAAACGCGGAGAGGATGATTGCGTCAATAGCGGCGGCGTGAGCAGCACGTCGTGCCAGATGGATGCCACGTGTCCAGCCTGGATGAGAGGAAGGAGATTGCCGGTTGGCAGCTTCGGAAAGGGAGGTAAAATCATGTCGACTATTGCTGCAGCGGCCGTTCCTGCTGCTGGTACTAGCTTCCGGCTCAGGATGGAAAAAGAACGATGAAGTATTTAATAAATACACAGGTAAAGTTCGGAGGCTGCATGGTAGGGACTCGGTCGGGTTGGGGGGAGGGGCGAGTGTGTTGAAGCTTGACTGGCTTCATCTGGTTCTGTAACGGTTTCATCATCCCTGTGTGGACGTCAGTGCGCAACTCACGGCGCGAGCACGGCGTGGTGTGGCGTCCTTCCAGAAAACTTCCTTGGATGCCTCTTGAATGAGGAATGCAGTGCAAGAGGGAAATGATGGAGGAAATTCGATGCAATCCTCAATCAAGACCAACCCAGTGCAGGGCAATGCAAATTTCGGGCACCAGCAGCAAGGAAGGGTCGTCTGTCAGGATGGAGTCCAAAGTCGTGTCGCCGTCCAGAATGCTGACGTGTACGAGAAATTCAGTTTCTTCCCAAGAAAACGGACAAGCTCGGTGTACATGGTTGTTTTTATGCTTCCACATCGGGGCTTTTCCACCACGAGGCTCTAGAGGCTGGGTAATTTAGGGGTGAACCCGGGGTGGTTGTGTTATCAGGAACATTGCATTACAGGGTTGATTGCAACTTTTCCAATAAATAACGCACATCGAGTTGACTTCTCACATTCCACCAAGGACATTTGGCCTTCACCCCAGCCGCAAAAGCCCCTTCCATTCGCATCTCTTGTCGTCGTGAGCACGACTCGCTCTCCGAATGTCAGACCAAAGGGATTTGGGCGTTTTGGGGCGCAGGTACCTGGGTGCGGAAACCAGGGAGCAGCCCCTGCACGGCCCGGTTGGCTGCGTAGAAATATAACCAACCTGGACAGTGGCCGCGACACAATCAAGGATATGTGGAGTTATCCAGATTGACAGAAAATATCCACCCTGATTTGAAAAGAAAGAGGGGCACAGCACCCTGCAAAAAGGGGCCTTCCAATAAGCTCCAAACTTGAGTGAGACCAGGCAGGAATTCTGTAGGGCGAGTAGCCCGTACTGTACAGACGAAAGTTTCGTCCCATTCGCCTCTCCCACCACCCGATCGCCACCACCGCGTGATTGTCTGGCAGGGAAAATTCCCGCGGCAGCGCCAAGCCCAATACAGCAGAACAGTTGACGCTGTTTGCGACTGCCTCCCACACTGGTCACGTTAGCAGTGGGTCCACTCGTCCACGCGCGTAGTTTGTACAGTATCGCGTACATAATCAACAGTTGCTGGCACTGCTGACTGTAGTCTGATCCCGCTCAAAGGGTGGTACAGTGCTGCACTGAAAATCGTCAAGCATGTCAGATTTATATGACATAGCTACTGTAGGCTATAGTGGGGTAGCACATATGGGGTACAGTTTTCTAGGGTTTGCTTTTGTACCCAACTTTCCCTTAGTCAATTCATTCATCATTTCTTCACATGGTATAGAGCAGGTTCCCTAGTGGGAACGCTTCCTTGGGCCCACCACTGAAACCTTTTTTTTCTGACCGGAGCGACAGTCGCTCCTGCCCGAGGCGCGCCTTGTGGGCCGCCCTTCTGTCGAGCTCTCTTAGAGGCCCCTCTCACGGCCCCTCGCGCCACCCTTAGCGGCCCCGTCGCCGCCCCTACGCGGCCCCGTCGCCGCCCCTAACGGCCCCGTCGCCTCCTCCCTCCCTACGCGGCCCTGTCGCCGCCCCTACGCGGCCCCGTCGCTGCCCCTAGCGGCCCCGTCGCCGCCTCCCTCCCTACGCGGCCCCGTCGCCGCCCCTACGCGGCCTCGTAG